TCATGATTGGCCAGTTTTCAATCCAATCAGAAGTGGTTTACATCGTGTTACATTATGTAAACAGGAACCGACTTCAATCTGTGGGAGCTTTTTCAAAGTAAACCAGGAAGTGGGTCAATTTCAAAATAAAATAAGAATAGGAATGTTAAATTCAACAAAGAACACAATCTTTATTTCACAACAATTGTCATCCCTCTGGGATTTATCTCACTTTGACTGGCATCGTATTCTATTAAGTGATGGCGTGAACACTGCTTGGAACTATTTTCATAATAGTTTAATCTATTTTGCAAACAAGCATGCTCCTTTTTGCCAGTTCAGAATAAAAGGATGAGACAGCACATGGTTTATTCCTGAGCTAGCTGACCTCCTGCACAGGAGAGACCAGTTTTGGGCTGTAGCGAGAAAATCTGGCTCAGACACTGATTGGTTGAGTTTTCGGCAAATGAGGAATAAATGCACAACTGCCATCAAAGCCGCAAAACGTAACTATTGCTTATCTCAGACCTCCAAAAATCGAAATGACCCCTAAAGATTCTGGAAAACCATCAAATCTCTCTCAGGCAGCTCCCAATCATCTGCCCACCCATCACAATCAAATAAGCATGAGTTCCTGAACTGTTTCAACAGACATTTTGTTAATTCTAGTTCTTTATTTGACACAGTTACTAATGGAAAATCAACCACTTCTCCCAAAATTTAAACTTCTACAAACAATATCTCTCCTGCAAGTCAATCTTCAGTTAATCACACTTTTCTCTTTCCCTGTTCTCTGTTAGTGAGGTAAATAAACTGTTAAAAGGTCTAGATTCTAAAAAATCTGCAGGACCAGATGAACTTCAACCTTATTTCTTAAGGCTGGCTGCTCATATCATCACAGTCCCTGTGACCCACATCTTCAATCTCTCCATAAGCCAAAACTCCATTCCAGACGCTTGGAAAACAGCCTTTGTTCTTCCTTTGCTGAAGGGAGGTGACCCCACCTCACTGAACAACTATGGATCAATCTCTAAACTTTACATTTTAGCCAAGGTTCTAGAAAAACTGTTAAACTCTCAAATCAAAAAGTTTTTGGACTCATTTAACATCTTACCTCCCCATTAGTCTGGTTTCAGGAAACAACACAGCACAACGACTGCTTCACTGAAGTCTAAAAAAGTTAAATCTGGTCCTCTGGACATTAAAAAAACAAAACAAAGCAAAACAACAACAACAAGAAAACAAAGTAGAAACGTTTCGTCTTTCATTCGAAAGACTTCCGCAGTCTGAGGTGCTATATTCAGCTCAGTCTTATAAATAGCAAAGCTGAATACAGCACCTCAGACTGAGGAAGTCTTTCGGATGAAAGACGAAACGTTTCTACATTTTTTTTGGTGGTGTTTTGCTTTGTTTTGTTTTTTGAATGTCCAGAGGACCAGATATAACTTTTTTAGATTTTTCTACCTGGATTATTGAGCATGCATCAGGATATTCTTCCCTGAAGGTTTTTAATGACATTGCTGAAGCATTGGATGCTAAGGATTATTGTGCTGCACTTTTCTTAGACCTGTCTAAAGCTTTTGACACTGTGGATTATAACATCTTGTGTTATAAGCTCTCAGAAATCGGTTTCTCAGACAATACTATTGGTTGGTTCTCTAAAGCCTGGTATCCACAGGTCTGGTTCTTGTTGTAGCCTGTTGTGTCCGGTTCTAGTGGGACCTCTATTTTTGTGTCTCCACTTTGCCTATAGTTCCCGTTTAGTGGGCGTATTGTTCACCTCTAGTGGGCGGATTATTAATATCAACGCACCTTACCAGCTGGTGGCGGTAGTGCTATATTAAGCTCTTTTCTAAGCACCACTAACATGTATTAGAAGAAGAGCTGGAAAACAACACACAACCAAAATGGATGACCTCCGTGAACTTGGAGCAGAACCAGCCGCACAGCCCGTCCTGGTCGCTGTCCCACAAGATGGAGAGCAGGGCCGAGGTGTCAGAGATGCTCTGATGGAGTACCTCATGAGCTGTAACTTATCCTAATTCCACCCCTTAATCTTTTTTACCTCCCCAGCCTTCCTTAGATACAAGTGAACGTTAAAGTGTTGATTTGAAAATAAACATGGATTAATAATTATTCTTGTTTGTTTAATGTACAGACATGCCTTATTACCAGGTTCGTGTAAAAATGGCAAAACAAACACTGCTGCTGTGCTTCTATCACACATGCTACGTTTTTTACTGGCTGTAGTTTTAGTAAAACTATACTCCTTAATTTTTGTTTTTAACAAAGAACC